TATCCAGGACAGGAGAGCAGCGTGAGCACGAAGCCATCCATGAGAAGCTGATCCAATCCGACACAGTTTCTGCGCACACCAATCACACAAAGCTGGTTACTCAGGCATCGAACTAGAACCTCTCCTAACCAAGTTCGCTTTCGCTGATGGGGACGCAAGGAACTGCACCAATACTCCTCAGTATCTGTCAGAAAGAAATTTCCACCGCAAGAGTACAATCAGAACAGGAAGAAGGAGAATGAGACAGCATGGAAGCCATGGAGCCAATCCTATCAGCAAGGATGGAAGAGCTCGGGCTACCAAGGATGGGAGGATTATGGCGGAGGATATGCAAGCCAATCCGATAGCAGCTATTGTTGGTACTCGCAGAAGCGATGCGATACTATGACAACAATCCACGCTGAGAACCATCACACAGAAAAAGACACCATCTCTACATGACCATCATGCATACTCCGCAGTGTGACAAGATCACATGCAAGGCTTTTGGTACGGTCAGGACACGCTCTCGTCGATCTTTCTGGAGCGCCAAAACTGAAAGTGCACGGAGAAGCTCAACAACTATGTCTATGACGACGATGACAGCATCAAGTTCCCACACCTGTGCATCCAAGTCATCCGAGACCAAAGAGGACACATCTCAGAAACAGGATCGTTGGATATACAGTTGATCCTGAACATCATTCTTGACGACAATTGGAGCGTGCCAGGCAAACAAGCCAATGGTGCACCTGCGGGAAGGTAAGACTGTCTGTCACCTTCTCCAATACTTCGCTCAAGGACAAAGAAGCAGGTTCAAGGCCTGCTGCAGACAGGACCATCGACAAGAAAGGCAGGTCGACCATTGAGCCAGATCCTTTTCCACCATCCAAGGGTGAACCTACATCGCTTCCACTTGCCTTAGGCAGAATCCATCAGCGAACGCCCAAGCCAGGAGAGTTGAAAAAGCCCCACCTCCAGCATCATCACATGAACTCCCACCAATGTCAATTCAGAATCCAGAACTCGTGCGCTTCATTTGCCAACATCGTCGTACAAGCACCACGAAAAAACGAGTGGAATTAGAGCGGACACATTCGGAGACATTCATTGATGATTGTCAGGCTCTCCTCGGAACCGGAGAGCACACCATTGTCTTTGTCATCCTGGCTGGAGCAACCACGTTGTTGACTGCGCAGGCAGTGAATACCACGCAGGAGGTGAGAACAGCACTGTCCCCAGAAACTACTTTGACCAGTACCACTTGCCCAGATCAGTTGTCGCAGGTCAAGCTTTCAGCTTTCATGACTGAGACATGGGAGCATGACTATCAGTCCCTCGACATCAGCCCAGTCTCGTTGGGGCCAATACATTGCGGCCAAATTGAGCTGAAGCAGCCGACTTTTGAAGGGCAGATCATCACCTGCCTCGCTCCAAAAGGCTACACGCGACAACTCGTTAAGGCCGCTGCAACTGTCAGAAACCAGACTGCCACCTACGGGCGTTTAACACCACTGGAACTCGCATTCGGCAGACGACCCTACGCAATTGACGATCAACAGGAACGGTCCAGAACAAGTGCCCAAACAGGCCTACCCGAAGACATCTGAAAAAAACTTGCTCAGAACCTCCGAGTGAGCTCCAAGCCTCTTCAGGTGAGAGACAAGGTGTTCTACTGGCAGGATGAGAAAGCAAAATTCAATCTGGTGGGAGTAAAGGAGGCATATGGTTGAATATTTCCATCGAAGGTTGGACTGAATCTCCGAACTCGACTCATCAAGGTAAACATGACAAAGGTCAGGAAGGATGAAACCAGGAACTGATGATTTGTTGCCAGATGAAAAAGGAAACCTTGCAGAATGAAGAAGGAAAACCCCATGGCAAAAATCTTACGGCCATTATGCATCGACGGGAAACAACTCCTAAACCCTTAGCGCCAGCGCCGGCAGAGAACATGTTCGCGGAAGATCTCACCTCCGTTCCTGAGCAAAAACATTGGAATTGCGTGAGTCTTCTGCAGGATGCAAGATTCAGCCGCTGCGCACTGACAGGTCTCAAGAAACGGATTCGACGTAATGACATCCAAAGGACGGCATGGGGCAGACAACTGAAGACCAGCATTCTGAAAGTTGCAAAAACCTGGCCCAGAAAGCGTGGGCTGGCGACGTCTGTATAGGTTGGCTGGCAGGCTGTAACCTTTCGTGCAAGTTTTCTCCTGCAAGTGCGCTTGTGGGAACTTGCGCTCGTGCAAGTGTGCTCGTGCAAGTGCGCTTGCACAGGCGCGCTCATGCGAGCGTTGCTCGTGCAAACTTCTGCTCCTGCAAGTGTGCTCCTGCAAGTATGCTCTTGCAAGAGTGTTCCTGCAAGTGCTCTCCTGAAAGTGTGCTCCTGCAAGTATAATGTCGCAAGAGTGTTCGTTCAAAAGTGGGCTCGTGCGCTCGCATACTTGTTCCCGCGCAAGTGAGCTCGCGCAAGCGCGTCCTGCCGGCGCGCTTGCGCAGACGCTCTCGCGCAAGCGCGCGCTCGCGCAAGCACGTCCTGCCAGCGTGCTCTTGCAAGAGTATTCGCGCAAGTGCGCTCGCGCCAGTGTTCTTGCGCAAGCGTGCTTGTGCAAGCGCGTCCTGCAAGTGTGCTCTTGCAAGGGTGTTCGTGCAAGTGCGCTCGTGCAAGTGTGTTCGTGCAAGTGTTCTTGCACAAGCGTGATCGTGAAAGCGCGTGCTGCGAGCGTGCTCTTGCAAGAGTGTTCGTGCAAGTGCGCGCGCGAGCGCGCTCGTGCAAGTGTTCTTGCACAAGCGTGATCGTGAAAGCGCATCCTGCGAGCGTGCCGTTGCAAGAGTGCTCCCGCAAATGCGCTCGTGCAAGTGCGCTCATGCAAGTGTTCTCGCGCAAGCGTGCTCGCGCAAGCGCGTCCTTGCGAGTGTGCTCTTGCAAGAGTGTTCGTGGAAGTGCGCTCATGCAAGTGCGCTGGTGCAAGTGTTCTCGTGCAAGCGTGCTCGTGCAAGAGCGTCCTGCGAGTGTGCTCTTGCAAGGGTGTTCGCGCAAGTTCGCTCGTGCAAGTGTGCTCGTGCAAGTGTTCTTTCATAAGTGTGATCGTGAAAGCGCGTCCTGCGAGCGTGCTCTTGCAAGAGTGTTCGTGCAAGTGCGCTTGTGCAAGTGCGCTCGTGCAAGTGCTTTCGCGCAAGTGTGCTCGTGCAAGCGCGTCCTGCGGGTGTGCTCTTGCAAGAGTATTCGTGCAAGTTCGCCTTCGCAAATGCGTGCGCGCAATGGTTCTCGCGCAAGCGTGCTTGTGCAGGCACGTCCCGCGAGTCTTCTCTTGCAAGAGTGTTCGCGCAAGTGCGCTTGTGCGCTCGCGCAAGCGTTCTCGCGCAGGTCGCGCAAGCGGAATCCTTTGACACAAACGCCGGAAACAAATAGTATAGGCAAGAAGCGATCCTCAGGATTGAGACCAAGGGCGAGCACATGTATCCAGCGGGACTACCGTTCTTGACGGATGGCGTTTGTCACTATGAGTGCAACGCCGCAAATTCCTACTACACAGTCATCGGAAACGTGACACGATTCGAAAATCGTGGCCTGAAACACATGGCAGACGTTATCACCGCAAAGTCAAACTCCGCGTGCAGCAAGATCAACAAGAAACAATGGGTCCAACATCCACAAATATCCACCGTCAACATGGAGATGGAAGGAATCGTAGAATGTTTCAATGGCGCCCAAAAGGCTCCAATGAGCCATATTCGTATCTCCGCAGAATGTGCGGCATCGAAGAGATCCATCGAACTACGAGAAGCAAAGAATAGAGATCGACAGCTTCTTCGGTGTCCTGGATGGCTTGGCAACACATGTGTTGCATTGGGCCAAGGATCGCCGAACGCAGGAGGCCACCGAAGATCCACCGCATCCTCTGGAAACATAATTCCCGACTATGCAAGCTCGTGACCAATGAGCAGCCTACAAGCGAGGACATTCCAGTTGAAGAGTGTCCAACAGTTCGAATGGAACGCTCTGCCATCTTAATGGCACAGTGATCCAGAGACCCATTTCATCAGCATTTCCATTTCCATTCGCTCCGGGCATTCCGGAATTTCTCACCATAATTCGTCACTGTCTATTGTCTTTCAACCGTGTACATATTGAGACATTTCAATTCGAGTGCATAACAACACAGACTTCAGATGCGCTCGTTCAAAAGTAGCGCGCCTCTTTGAGTCATCGGAACAACCGATTAACTTAGATGGCTACGGCAAAAGTTTTCCTATCTGCTATCACTGCGCCACCCTTCATGTACAAGGGGCGGCGCGCCCTGCCGCCGACCATGCGCCGACCACGCGTAGACTTTTTGCGCTGCGCCCCATACTACTGGGCGAAGGATTTGCATATGTGCTTAGGGGTGTGCACAAGATGGAGAGCATCCCCTGCATCACCCGCATCCATGGCGGACATTGATGGAGATGATCCTGGTGATGCGGGCGATGTTGCCCACTACGCGCTCCTGCGGGCGGCGAAAAACCTCAAAACCACTGTTTTTAATGGTTTCACATGGATTCAAGGCCGCGTTGATGCGGAAAACGCAAAAACACCTTTTTCACGCGTGTTGGGAGGCATGGGCAAAAACGTTGAAAAACACAGTATGTTTAATGGTTTTTGGCGGGGCCGGCTGTTTCCGTAGCGCTTAAATCACCTGAGTGAAAAGTTGCAGGACCTGCAAGGTTATTGGTTTTTGGCACGGAGCCCGGTCAATATCAAGGTCACCTCTGGGCAAAGGCCCGGAGCTCAACAAAAGCAGCCGAACCAAATCGCGCAGGATCAATGGTCTGAAGCGTGCCCGAAAACAGGACTCCTTTTTACGTTTGCGCCCTGATCAGTTGGGCGTGTCCCTTTACTTGGGAAACCCGCAACCGCTTGGCTTGTGCTTTGGGATTCCCTTTCAAACCATCTCACAAAGGGCACAAAATCACCCACGTAGTCATTCTCCTTCAAAGTCTCGGTCAGGCTACACGCAGGAAGCTTTGGCCTCGGGCCAAAGTTGTTTCCAGCTGATCCCAGCCAGAACGCAACCTGACGCACGCTGCCCACGAAAATACCGTAGCCACACTCGCTCGTCTGGAGATTGATGGAAAGCCCGGCGATAGAAACAAGAGAAAAGCCGCTGAGCACATGCGCACAAATCGTCAACCAATGGCACACTCTCAAACGTGACCACCTCTCACCAGGCTCGCTACATAGCTGCTTTCGATTCCTAAGCAACACACGCAAATCATGAAACAAGCCATGGAAAGAGCGAGGATCTTGCAACAGTGTCAAGCTGATAAAGCAGAGTTGCAACGCAATGCACCTTAGTTTGCTTCACCTACGACATGACATAGCACTTGCTGCACACCAACGCCAGCTTCTTCAAACATGACTCTTGGTAGATGTTTGCCGTTTCATATTTGAGATTGAACTGTCAAGGACCACGCGAATCACTCTGCATGCCAGGCAAGGTAGAACGACCGCCAAACTTCTCTCGGGCTCTTTGGGAGCTTCCACAGAGGGCCAAACCAGGCCCACAGTGGCTGCGAGTGTCACAAACTCTCAATTCTCAAAGTCACAAGAACGACTGCACATCCAGGCCTATCATGTCAACCCGTGATTGATAAACCCTCCCGTTCTGAATCAATTCCTTTCTTTTGGGTGAGCCCTGATTGCGGACTGAGCTGTTCTTTGGGCCTATAAACCAAAAGAGAAAATGGAGGTCAATAAACAGGCTGGCGGCTGGAAAAGCAGAGCCTTAGCAACATCCCCGGCCAACCCCACACCTGGCAAGGCTCCTCTGGCAGGAAAAGCGGCACAGGCACTCCTCTGCAGGGGATGAGAGTGGCACCCAGCTCTTAGTGGTTGGCGTCTTCTTGCTTTCCCGTTTCCTCCCAACTAAGCCGGGGTCCACGAATCTTGAGAAGCTTGCATTTGGCTGCGGGAATTGTTCTACCTTCCTGAATACTGTGACCATCGACACAAGGGCATGTGACTGCGTCGGAAGTTGGCGCCGGCTCTGCCACGTCACGGCCGCCAGCCGTCCGACAATCAAGTTTCCCCAAGCTTAACTCCCCAAAGCCTTCCAGCGTCCTGAAGTCCCTCGAAAACGGAGCTCCCGCGCAAGGGAATCTTCCACAGAAACTGCTACGTCAGGGATAGTGCCAACAAAGCCGCCTCTCTGCCAAGCTGCGTGGCACAAAGGATCGAACCTCGGACTGGAAAACACGGCGCTAGGCGCCTAGACCTGCAAAATACAGCATCCATCGCCTTTCGCTTCTTGGGAGATTCAACGGATGCGGCTAATTAGCACGACAGCTGGAGAAACGCAGGGGAGGCTGGGCTCTTCAAGAGTTCCAACGACGTTGCCACTTCGGAGGTCAAAAAAGGAAATTGATGAACACATGGTATACGAGGACGGCCTTGCCTTTTCCTGAGTCAAAAGATTCTTTCAACTGTGAACTATGGATCCAGGAAACATGTTGTTTTTCTGGAAGCTCCTCAAGTTCCTTTGTCGCCCATTTTCTGAATTCGTTGCTGGCAATGCTTGTTTGGAATGTGGGGGGAAACAGCTTCATACAGTCATGGCATAGAGCATACACTGGACTGCTGCGCACCTAGGCTCAATCCTGCTACACAATCAAGACATGGCGCCAAGCAAGGAGCCTATACAAGTGTGCACATGTATGTTATTTATGTGTGTACCATCGACCCCAAGATCCACGCCGGAGTCTCAGCATGTTCTAAATGTTTTGCCTGATCAGATCCTGACCTAAGACTGCATTTACGTGGCGTGTGAAGAAGGAGACTGTTTGGTAGATGTGTTTTCTGGATGAGACCGGTTGGGCTCATTTTGTTAGAGTGGTTTGTTTCAGAAGGGCGGACTTTCTGCCATTGGAAGCACACAATGCTGAGAGGTCCCGTGTTTTCAGCTTTCTGGATGCAGTGAACAAGAAGACTCTCAGCCTTTTGTGGTTTCAACAGCCTTTCGTGTCAAGAGGCCCCTTAAAAATCAAGCCTTGACAGCTTGGATAGCTGAAGACTGCTGGGGACTAGATCTTGTAGCTTTCTTTGGATCTCTCAGCACGCTGTAATTCTAGGAGTGTTGCGAAGGTGCCTACTCAGGCAGTTCTATTTGCACGTCCAAGCAAAATGCAATTTCAGTTCTATCTGCCCCGCTTGGAATTGCAAGGCTTTAAGTTAAGAAGGTTTACAACTTGAAATTAACCATCGAAGTGACGTTACTATTTTTAAGTAGACCTTAAATTCGATGTCCTTTCCATGTAGCGGTCGAATGAGAATGCAAACGGACACCTAGTGAGGAAGGAAAGGTTTGTTGTTTCTTCGTTTTAGTTTCAGTTGAGTTGGGCGAGGAACAGGAATCTTTCACCAAGTGGGATTCTAATCAGAATTTCCGTAGAATCTAGTGACAAGCTGTAGAATCAGTTTTTTCAATTAAAGCTGCTTTGAACTAGATGTTTGGAGTTTCTTTCCAAGTCAGGCTCTCAAATCTGGCGAGGAAGGACATGCTGAAAAGCCGATGTTCAGTTGCAAGGCTTTCAGCTTCAGTAGCAATTTAGTTAGAATCTAGGCATGTCAAAGCGTTGTCGCACGCACCCACGCCACTCCTTAAAATCACAGATCTCTGGCATTCTCACGCCGCTTCACGACCCCACGAGGGGCTTCTTGATGCCCTGGCTTCAACTCCCTCCACCCCTTGACCTCTTCTCACCACTGCTTCTGCTTTTCTGCCTTCACTGCTACTGCCGGTCTCCCATCACCAGATTGCTTGCCCGACCCCTGTTTTCCCTCCCACCCTTCTCGGCCTATAAGATCTCTCTCTCTCTCTCTCTCTGTCTTTCTCCCTGTCTCTCTCCATATGTGGAATTGCTCTAGGGAGTACACTCAAAGGGATGTATCCCCCTCTTTGCGGGGAGCGGGCGAAAGACATGTGCTGAAGCCGCAATCGTGGAACAGACAGGCATGCGTATGTCTTACAGCTCACCTCTCCTGGAGCAACAAAGATGTTGCATAAACATGTCCTAAACAAATGAGGCGTGGGTCATAGGCGGGGAGCGTATTCTACAGCACTGCAGACACAAGCAAATACCAAAATATACTTACAGTAAATGAACAGGAACATTTCTGAACTATTGGCGAAAGGACAACCACAAGCAAGACTGCGGAAAAACCCAGTACAGCGTTTCTCACTCGCTTCAGTTCCTGTGGCCACATAGCATTGCATGGACATGCGTCGCGCTGCACACTCCAACTGAAAAGCATCCAGGCGGCCAACACGTCCTGACACTCAGCGTCTTCGGGCGCATCGTAGCGCAGCCCGTCGCCGTCTCGCACCACTGCAGCTTTGCCTCGACAAGCTTGATTTTCAAAGCACTGCACCTCGACATGACTCGATTTGCCCGAAAGACTTGCTTTACATCGAGGGTGTTCACGCTTTCAAAACCATCGCCTGGCAGCAACCCAGGTTCAGTTGGCGGGCAGTCAAATGGAACCCAAGAAGTAAGGAACCCAAGCCCACACCATTGGCCATTTCCGAAGTGGGGAATGTGTCCCGGGCGTCAACGGAACACAAAAGAAGCTCCGGCAAGGCTCAATAATTTGCACGATGGCGTGCTTCTGTCATCACGCAGGAAAGCACATGCAAGAAGCCCGTTCGCGCGCTTTTCAGCAACCAGACGTCGCCGTCTGGCCATGAAAGAAAATACACCAAGAAAGGAAGACTTCCCACCCACGTGAAGCGCAAGGGACACAAACCTTCTGGAAGGCATGTTATAGTTAGAACGGACCGTGCCTAACTTTTCTTCATCATCGCACCGTGTACCCCCCCACACTCTTAGCAACATTTGGAAAACAGCGCCTCAAAACAGCACAACTTCAAAAACAACAATTCAAAAGAGGTAGTTTCCTAGTTAGCTTATCCAGTATGTTTATATGCAATATTTTCAAAAGTTAGTTTTCGAAATAAAAAAATAACTTCAAAATCATTTTACGACAATATCTTATTCATTTTTCAACAGTACCATTCCGAAGTTTATGATAAAATATGCTACAGAAATTTGTCAAAAACTGTGAAACCATTATAAGCAAAGTTTCCCTCATTCATTCTTAATTGTTAAATCTATGAAACAGTTCTCGGGAAATACGACCTATGGAAAAGATGCTGGGTTTATTCAGTTTTCCATCAATACATATTTCTCCCCTTCCTTCAAAATCCTCCAGTATTCTAACGTTTGCTCTTTTGGTTGTTTGATATGTTGTGTTCAACATCTCGCTACATTTTTACGTTTTCCTCAAAACTGGTCTACCCAAGCCGAGATTTTCAAAATATTACGCATCGTTTCCTTCTCTTCATTGGTATTATTTGGTTCAACTGCTTTAGCATCAAACCTTTGTTCAATTGTTTTAGCAATTTCTGACAATGCTGTAACATTGTCACTAACAGTTATAAGTTTTTCATGAATTCGTTAATGGTGAAATTCTGTGTTTCAGAGTTAAAAAATGATTTACATAATCATTCATTTACCTATTTATTGGGTATAAAACTGATTTAATGCTAAGTCAACCCTTTATATACTATTTTCTCATTCTTTCTCAGGCGTAAATAACCTACAAAATCCACCTTTTGATGTTTTCTACCCAACTTTCTTCAACTGCGCTTCCGTCGGAACTTTCCGCTTTACTGTATGCGTGTTTCTACCACATGAACACGGCCAACATTTGACCTTAACGTGTTCTTTGTCAAACTCTCATTCATGCAGTTGTTTAACTGTTTGGCCGCATTTGTCGCATTTGGCACATTCAATCTATTTTGGTTTTTCTTCCTTCTTCTTTGGTGGCATGTCTTACCATATCATTCGCATCTTTATTTCTGGTAAGTTGTCTTCGTCGCTTCTTTAATTCTAATGAATAATAGCATTTTTAGTTTTTAAGCAGTTATTGCAACTATTTGCTATATCAATGTAACCTGAATGATTCCTACCCATATTGGATAACAAGATAAATCATAATTAACCTTGTTATTTAGAATACCCTATTTAGCATGTTCGGGGCGCTTCGCGCTGCACACTGGCGCGGGGCTCAAAATTAACTCAAGCTAATTAGCTTCAGTGCTTATTGATTGAAGTAATGAACATCTGTTTCATTTCTGATACGCCTATATCATACACGATAGTTCATACAATTATGTATATGACTATTTCTAAATAGTATTAAACTAGGACTGAAGTTCCAGGAATGAACATACCTGATTTTGAAATCAAGCAAACAAAATGCAAGCGCGTGCCAAAATTACCATTCAGAAGCACTGTCGAACTCGCAAGGGGCAAAACAGTACTTTGTCAGAACCGTATCTTAAATGTTTATAGAAATTCATGTGCAGGAGCCGAATGACCCTACATTCATTCACACAAGTTAAACAAGTATATTCGTGGTGAATTACACGTGGATGAATGAAAAAGAACAAACCTATTTTGACAAACATAACCCAATTGATCTAGAAAATGCAACTCAAAGACAAAAGAAAACAATAAGTTCTATGAAGTCTGAAGAGTTAAAGAAACCAAAAAATGTGGTTGAAAGACAGACGAAATAATAAACTGTGTGAAACTAAAAGATATGGAAACTGCGTTGCATATTAACCGTGATAGATGACCACGCAAACGACCCTAAATTTGCTAGATATAATATATTACCAGTAGAACCGGCGAAGCCGGTGGACGGAAGTTTCTAAAGCGAGAAGAGTGCCTATAGGAAGAGCTTGGCTTGTTTTTTCTTGGTTGCGACTCTTTCTTTGGCTCTTTCTGTTTCTTTCCTTCTTTCTTTCTTTCTTTCTTTCTTTCTTCTTGCTTTCTTTCTTTCTTTCCTTCCTTTCTTTCTCCTCTTCTTTGGCGTCCACAGAGTGTATCTTCTTTCTTTCTTTCTTTCTATATCTCTGTCTTTCTCTTTCTCTTTGCATTTGATCTGTCTTTCTATCTATCTATCTATCTGCACCTGACCTTGCGAAAGTGCTGCGCCTGCCACGGAATCTGCACTTGACCTTGCGAAAGTTCTGCGCCTGCCACGAAATCTATACTTGACCTTGCAAAAGTGCTGCGCCTGCCACGAAATCTGCACATGACTTTGCGAAAGTGCTGCGCCTGCCACAAAGTCTGCTTGCGAAAATGCTGGGCCTGCCACGAAACCTGTACTTGATGTTACGAAAGTGCTGCGCCTGGCATGAAATCTTGACTCGACCCTATCGATCGATCTATCTATCTATCACCTGACCTTGCGAAAGTGCTGCGCCTGCCATGAACTCTGTACTCGACCTTGCGAAAATGCTTCGCCTGCCACGAAACCTGTACTCGACCTTGCGAAAATGCTGCGCCTGCCACGAAATCTGCACTTGCCCTTGCACGGGCACAAAACGCTGCGCCTGCCACGACATCTGCACCTCAGGTTGTCAAAGTGCTGCGCCTGCCACGCAAAATAGACCTCCGAACACGTCTGCGCAAGCATTACAGTGGGCAACATTCCGAAACCGTGGCGAGACCGTGGCGAGATCGTGGCGAGACCGTGGCGCACCCGCACGCAGAACAGAGAGGTACCCTTCGCGATTCTCCGTGCTGACTGACTTCACTTCTGAATGCGTCCGGATCTTGTGATTCAACTTTTCGTGTTACGGAAGTTTTCTTACTAAACTTCCTTTCACTACACGATCATTTTACGAGAGGTAGGAACGATGCCGTAAGTGTAATTAGTTCAACAATAAATCAAATGTTTTAGCGCACTTCATCTGTTTAACTGCTTGTTCACTACATGTTTAGGTTGAGAAATGCCAGTGAACCAATGAGACGAAAATTCGCCATTGCTGATTTTCAGCAACTGCTAGCTTTGTATCATCAAGGTGTTCATGATGCGCCTTATATTTTCTGTAAATATGAATGGCAAGAATGTGAATGACATGTTTTTATCCGGCTTAGACAGGCATTTCAATTTACTGGGAACCTCATAATAGTAATAGATTGTAATATTGTTAATAAAATTAAACTAATGAAGCGTTGCAAAACAGTTTTTCCGGCAACGCATATACTAACTTGTCTGGCTTCTGGGCTTCTGATTCTCTATTCGTGCCACACATTCTTGCATAGATGTAATTGTTAAAGTATCTGCCCTTGGTTATTCATCTACTCCTAAACTCTTAATGTCTTCCATACTGGTATTTTCATCATTTTACTTTGACCAATACCCATTATATAGAGATTAGTTAGGTACTATCTTATCTAACTAATTAATCAGGTTCTCAAAGAGAATATCAATATTGGTTAGATTAGATTTTTTCAATGTTTCATTTTTCCATTGCTTCTTCTTCATCACTTTCTGCAGCCGTGGGCACTGGTATTTCTGTTGGACTTGCAGAGGAATTTCATAAATTTCTACTACGTCTTGTGCTACTACTACTACTTTCTGCATTTCCTGCCATTGTCTCATTGACTAAACCTGCACTATTTCAAGTTGTTGCAATTGTGCTGTGTGGTAAGTTTAGCATGATAACTGCTACTGTAGCCCCGTTGCGTAGCATCATTTCTATCATGTTTGTCAGTTTGAACTTTTTTCTTCTTCGTCGCTGTCCTCCTCATCTGGCGGTTTCTCTGGCGGTGGTTCTGGCGGTTTGTTGTTGTCAAGCATGGTAGTAAAGGATGAAACCGTTGCACCACGTCTTTTTTTCAGTGTTTGTGTTGCTTGTGCTCTTGTTAGTTCATTTCTTTTGTATGTGTTGCGCCAAAAAGTTTTGAAGCGTTATTTTAAACATATTGTCTTGCCTTAGATGCTTCAAATGTTGTAGTGTAGCGTTGTGTTGCATCATGATATGACTTTTCTTGTGTCTCTCTGGTTTCTGTAGCAATGGTATTTGTGTTGGTTGCAGTGTCAATAGACTTTCTTGGCGTGCCATTTCTCATGATTTTTTTGCGGTTGTCTTGGCGGCGGTGGTGTGGTTGGTTTCATTAGGTTGTGTGTTGAAAAACTGTCGTCATCATCATACTATCACTGAATTTCTGCTTCTCCTTTCTCAGAATATTTTCGTTAATATTTTCAGCACATATACTTGTGTTAATATTAACGTTCACCACTTCCTGTCACTCTACTTGGAGGTCTTGCCATTTTTGTAGTTGCTCCTATTACTTGTTGAAGTTTGGCGATATATTTGTAATAAACTAAGTCACCATACATCTGGGCGATTTGGTCTGCTATTGGTATTCTTACATCGCCTTTTGCATTCTTATGTAGCCTTAATAAATGGGCAATTTGATTGAATGTCTGGGTGTAGTTCTTCAATCCTTGATATAATTCGTCATTCATTTTTACTTTG